GGTTGGGAGTTTCTCCCCCCTTCCCTGACTCTGACTTCCACTCCCAGCCTGGAGAGATCATCCTGCAATGCAACGAAGGGGCCGTTGTCATGTTCTACGTCACCCTCAGCTACATGGGCTTCCTGGCTGCCATCTGCTTCACGGTGGCTTTCCTGGCCAGGAACCTGCCTGGGGCCTTCAATGAAGCCAAGCTGATCACCTTCAGCATGCTGGTCTTCTGCAGTGTCTGGGTGACTTTTGTGCCCACCTACCTGAGCACCAAAGGGAAATACATGGTGGCTGTGCAGGTCTTCTCCATCTTGGCCTCCAGTGCTGGTCTGCTTGGTTGTGTCTTCATCCCCAAGTGCTACATTATTATTCTGAGGCCAGACCTGAATACAAAGGAGCAACTAACGACCAGAAGAAATATAGCTATGTGAGTCAGAAGTATTTTGACTCCTAATAGGTCAAACCAAGAAAATGGTGCAAAATGATGATCATACGTATAAAAAATACAATCGATGTTGTAAGCACAAATATCCATAAATAACAATCCTCAGGTTACTTTCCCACCCATCTGCTGTTAGTATCCTCGAGAGTTATTGCCTTAATAAAAAGAAACACAATCAGTTGTTTTGCAGTAGCAATTTTGATAAAATGTACTGAGAAGCAAGGAGTTCAGGGTCCCAAAAGCAGACCTTCTTTCTATGCTTCTGTCTTGCTAAGAGGGTCTCACTCCTCCCACAACTTGCTTTCCTCACAGCTCTTCTCCCTTTTCACCTCTTGGAAGGCAAAATCCTGAAAGGACTGGATTTATCCGCTCACTCTTCTGGAAACAATGTTTGGAAAGACTTTAATGCCAGGCAGAAGAGCTAGGCAATCTAGAGCCAAATTTTGCAACCAGCCTGTCCCAGGTACCCACAAGGAAAGCCAATTGCATAGAAGACTGAGGCTTGTTGTATAGCTCCTTGTTCCTGATCCTTTACATCTTGCATACTGCTTTTTATTTTTTGTCATTTATTGACCCCATAATCCCTTGTGGGGTGGAGTCAGGGCAACTGAATGGAGATGAGTGTTTACTGGCCCTTCCTGTTGCCAATGCAGAGTTCGCAGCAGATACATTCTCATTGTGCCCAGAGAGAGAAATATCTGCCTCTACCTAGGATCGAACTCACAGCCTCTTGATTGCTCCACCTATAGGCCACCACATATTGCTTTTACTTGCAAGGAATTGTCAGTAAGGTTGAAGCAACCCAAACCAGGAAATCCCTCACATCCATGGGCCATTTTGAGCAGCATCAAGTCCATGGCCTGCCTGTTTTGCAAGATTGCTGTTCTTTGCTATTCCTGCTTCTCATTGAGGAGAGCTTTACCAAGCCTCATTTCTATGTTTTGTAACTGTTGAAGACCTTTAAATGTACAGGAGGGCTGTCTAAACAGTTAGAGCCAGAAAAGTCTATCTGCAGTGTTTTCTTCTGAAGAATGTCTCCACCATTGTAAATGTTGTGAGTCCGACCCCCGATCCCATTTTATCGGAGGGAGAAGACTCAGAAAGTGAAGGAGAGGAGTTGGCAAGGCCTCCCTCTCCAGGACCCTCCTCTCTGGCAATGCCTCAGGTGTCTTCCGAAGGAGAAGAGATAGGCCAGGAGCCAGGCATTTCTGAGCAGCCGCAGTTAGACAGCGACGGAGATAAGTCTTGGCTGGATCCCCGACAGCATTGGAAAGACAAGCGCACACAGCAGAGAAGGAGGCATGCCAGAGATTAAGCTGAGTCACTGGACCACACCCCACAGGGGATAAAAGGGGGTGTGGTGGCCATTCAGGCTTTATGACGGACAAAACTGAAAACTAGCAAGTCATTCTGCATTTCTGGAACTTTGTTATATGCTCTGCTTGGACTGATTTTTTGGACTGGACTTGACTATTCTTTGGCTTTTGTGAACTTTGATGTTTTCAGTCGGAGGAGATAAACCTCCCTTTGTAAGTAAAACCTACTGGCAAGCAGCCACTGGGTTGCTGCCAATTCTGTTATCAAAGGAAATTCTTGTCTGCTGGTTTATTTTAACTCTTGGTCGACTGCTGGTGGGCGTGTGTGAGACGGGGACAGAACAGTAAGCTGGTGTGGGAAGGAGAGCATCACTCCCATAAATCTCTGTTCTGGGAGGGATGACAAGAATGGGTGGAATCAAACAGAGGACCTGAAGCAAATAACAGAATAAGAGAGCTGGAAGGGACCTCGGAGGTCTTCTAGCCCAACTCCCTGCTCAGGCAGGAAACCCCATACCATTTCAGACATAAGCTTGTCTCTTCTGAAAAACCTTCAGTGATGGAGCACTCACAGCTTCTGGAGGCAGCTCATTCCACTGACTAGAACAATTGATCAGTGAATCAACCTGCCTCCAGAGGATGTGGGTACTCCAAAACTGGAGGTTAATCAATAATCAAGACTTTTTTCAGGGTTCATGAAACAGCAAGTGCTGATAGGACTCCCCCAATATTGAGAGAGGCTCAAGAAAAGGAGGCTGTCATATTTACACATCTAAGAAAGGCAGGAGAGGCTAATGCATAAGCAACAGACAAGATAAGCACAGATATTCATAGGGAAAGGATCTCAAGTAATGGAGCTCAGCCTATTTCTTCTGCAGATTTTCCTTCGGAAGCCAAACGGGAGGAATAAAGCAATAAAATAGGACAGGGAGGGAAAACCTCTCCCATAAATCAAGAGAAGGAGCCAGAATGCCAGACACCAAAAGAGAAAAATTTCCCATTGGAAATCTATGGGATTGCTCTAATTATTTTTTATTTATTTTTATTTTATTTTACTTCAAATTTATATACTGCCCTTCTCCCTAGGGACTCAGGGCGGTGTACAGCCAAAAAAAAACACATAATAAATACATTAAGAACAGATTAAAAAGAAATATCTCAATTAGATTACAGACTTTGGCCTTATATCTCTATTCATTGACTTCATTTAATCAATTCCATTCTTCAAAGAACAGATTTTTTCCATATAGGAAATGCATAATCCCAGGGGCCAATTTTTGCTTCTGATTCCAGCAGGTTTTGAACTTCAGGAAAGTCCTGTCCTGTCCTGTCCTGTCTGGAACACAAGGAAGATGTGACCCATGTGACTGTTTTCAGACAAATCATTTTTTTTAACATGAAAAAACTAGTTTTTTTCAGCAACTCAACAATAGGGAGCATATTCTGGAAATCAGAATATTGAGAAAGGTATGAATTTAGGAGGAAAAGAGGGTTGATGTAACCCATTAATTTGCCACTTGTGGAATGTTATCTAGGGCCAATACTTTCTATTCTTTAATTCCCATGTCTAAATTATGTCTTATTCTTTGATTTCTAGTTCTAGTACTGATTTACAAAGCCTTAATAAAACCACACTTGGTATATTGCATCCAGTTCTGGTCACCACAATAAAATAATAATAATAAAAAACCTCTGGGAAGTGTACAGAGAAGAGCAACAAGGATGATTAGGGAGCTGGAGGCTAAAACATACGAATGGTTACAGGAATTGGATATATCCAATCTAATTTTTAAAAAAGGACTAGAGGGGAGATGATAAGTTTGTTCCAATATTTGAGGGGCTGCCAGAAAGAAGACGGGATCCACCTATTCTCCAAAGCATCTGAAGACAGGACAAGAAGCAAAGGATGGAAATTAACCAAGGAGAGAAACAACCTGGAATTAAGGAGAAATTTCCTAACAGTGAGAACAATCAACCAGTGGAACAGCTTGCCTTCAGAAATTGTGGGTGCTCCCTCATTGGAGGATTTCAAAGGGAGACTGGACAACCATTTGTCTGAAATGGTATAAGGTCTCCTGCCTGGGCAGAGGGTTGGACTAGAAGACCTCCAAGGTCCCTTCCAAGTCTATTATTCTATGTTCTATGATTTGTTCCTTGTTGATGTATCACATATACTTAATGAATGTATTTATTTCTGTACCCTATAAAAAGACTTGACACCCTATCCCACCCCCCTCAAAAATGCCTTTGGCTTTGCCTGAATTCCTTGGTGGTTTCTATTTTCGGGTTGGCAGATAAACCAAATTTACAAAGGTGACAGTATTTTTCTCTTCCAAGCTCAGGGAATAGGTCTTCGCCACCACACAAACTCAGGTTCCTGGGCCTCTCGAGAACGAAGGGAAGGAGCTCAGGATGAGGCAAACCTCTTTGTGGTTGTGTAAGAACTCTCTGTGAGGCCCCAGGAGGAAGAAGATGGACAGAGCTGAAGCCCAGGAGGCAGAGAAAGAGGCTAACTCAGAGATAAACTGCTCGGACGAGAAGAGGCAAACAGAAAGGAGGAAGCAACTGAGGGAAAGAAGGAAAGAGAGACGTTGATTGCCTCTCCTCAGAACCTGCGTGAGGGAAAAGTCCTTCTGGTAAATGTCTATGGAGATTCTCAGTCCTCCAGGTTGTTCCAAAGGTGCTTTTTCAAGAGGCAACTGGACTTTCTGGAGGTTTTTTTTTTAAAGATGTTTTGCTTCTCACCCAAGAAGCATCTTCAGTTCTAACTGGATGGTGAGCATCCCCACCATCCAGTCAGAGCTGAAGAAGCTTCTTGGATCAGAAGCAAAATGTCTTCAAAGAAAAACCAGAAAGTCCAGTTGTCTCTTGAAAAAGCACCTTTGAGTCCTTCCAGTAATTTCCCTCAGATGGAACCAAGAGTTGGAAGAGGGGAAGATTAAAGAAGGAGGAAACAAGCCGAAAAAACAGAGAAAATTAAAGATTTTGACAGAACAGGAATAGAAAACAGAAACCACAAATAGATGAAAAAACCAGATTGGATTCTGTAGAAAAAGAGCATATCTCTCCCCCCTCAAATCAAAATCAATGTATCCAAAATCAAAATAAAACTTCCCAATCCCTGCATAAATGGGGGTGTAATGAGGCATTTCAATGGGTTTTATGTTGTGATTTTTAATGTTATAATCCAGCCGGAGTCACCAATGTGTAAATTGGATAGCAATATAACTATGTTTCATAAATAAATAATAAAATCAGAGATTCTTGTGCCTCATTATATTCTCTCTACAATTCAGATTGGGCCTAAATAAAATAATGTAGCATTTGGGGAAAAAGATACAAGCCAAGAGACCAGCCCCAGAGGCCAAGATGGAGAAGATCTCCACGGCCACCATGGACTTCCCTTTGGTGCTCAGGTAGGTGGGGAGGAAGCTGATCCAAACACTGCAAAAGACCAGCATGCTGAAAGTAATGAATTTGGCTTCATTAAAGCTGTCGGGCAACTTCCTAGCCAGAAAGGCCACAGTGAAACTGATGAGGGCCAGGAAACCCAGATAGGCAAGGACAGCATAAAACATGGAAGCTGAGCCTTCATTACATTCCAAGATGGCCTCTCCTACCAAGGAGTGGAAGTCCATGTTGGGAAATGGGGGAGAGGTTACCAGCCAGGTGGCACAAAGAATTGCTTGGACCAGGGGACAGGCTAAGACAATAGAGTCAGTAAGTGGTTTTCCTAAGAGTTTCTTAGTCCTGTTCCCAGGCTTGGTGGCCATGAAGGCCAGAACCACCATGACAGTTTTTGCCAAGACAGAGGAAACTGCAAGGGAAAAGAGAATGGCAAAGGCAGATTGTCGAAAAAGACAGGTGAGCTTCCCTGGTTGACCAATGAAAAGAAAGGAACAGAGGAAGCAGAGCAGAAGGGAAACCAGGAGGATGTAGGTGAGATCTCGGTTGTTGGCCTTGACAATTGGTGTATTGTGATGCTTAAGGAAAACCACCAGGACTAAAGCTGTGGTCACAGAGAGAAAAAGAGTGAGAGATGTTAAGGAGTAGCCCAGGGGGTCTTGATAAGCAAGGAAGTGGAGCTTCTTGGCAATGCAGTGGTCCATGTCCTTGTTGGGATATTGGTCTTCTGGGCAGGGATCACAGAGAGCTGCATCTGAAATCAAGAGTCGGTGTGAATTTCATGAGGAATCAACAAAGGCAAATCATCCATCCATATTGACAATGCTGGGAATAAATTAGCCAGAAAAACAGATTTGTTTTCTGGCTCAACCTCTCTGCTTTATTCTTCAAATCCAGACATTCAAAAAGAGCCTTGGTGGTGCAGCGGACTAAGTGCTGTTATGTAGCACTTAGCTGCCAGCTGCCTGCAATTAGTGCGAGTTCAAATCTCACCAGGCTCAAGGTTGACTCAGCCTTTCATCCTTCCGAGATAGGTAAATTGAGGACCCGCATTGTGGGGGCAATAAACTGACTTTGTAGAAACACCACTTATGGGGGGGGGGGCAAAAGCCCTAATAAGCAGGTATATACCAAAGAATGAAGGCTATTGCCATAAGTGCATTGTAAGCTGCCCTGAGTCTTCGGAGGAGGGCGGCATATAAATCGAACTAATAATAATAAATAATAAAATAATAAATTCAATCTTTTTCCTTAAAAGGAAACTTATAAATTTTGCTGTGAAACAACCTGATATTAAATTGTTGGGGAGCAAGAAAAGTGGCCTTTGGGGTAGCACAGCTTAGATTCATGAACTGAGAGGGTCTGCTGAATATATGAATATATTGAATCATATAAAGCATCCTACCAAAACTGATGCCAAAATTAATATTTTCCCATTGAATGACTTTCTTGAAGATCTACACTTGACGTGTGCTGTACCTGTCTGATTAGAAATGGTCCCTTCTGGACAAGGGTCACACTGATAGCAGCAAACTTCCTTGCCTTCTGGAACGCTCTTCCTCTCTCCTGCATGGCACCTCCTCATGCCACACCTGGCAAAGGGCACCTTCTGGAAGAGAAATATTTGAGATGGCCTAAGTAATAAACATGCTTCATTTGTCTATTTTACATTTCTGTTTCCCTCTTTAGAATGTCTTCAAAAGAAACGGTTTACCAGGGCCTACCAGAGGGATAAGCTTCAGGGGGAATCAGGCCAGTGGCAATGCTGACCCTCCAGAATGGATGCTGGAGACTGGAACTGAGATCTCAAAATGCAAAGGAAAGCTTGTGAGATGGAGCTACAGCTTTTCTAAAAGAAAGAATCATGGGGATCCAACTGAATGGTCCATGGAAATCATTCTTGCCTGCTTTAATGGGCTCCTGGGTTCCAAGCAAATTGTAAATGTGTTAAACTCAAAAGCAGGTTTTTCATCAAATCCCTGATTTTTTTTCTGACTGAATAGACCTATTTCCCAATTAAAAGAGTGTTATGCTTCCTTTGGAGTGAATTAATCCTTTGCTGAATTTATAATATTTCCTTCCAATTCACCTTTGTGACCCAGATGATTTCATTGGAGTTAATGGTGAAATCTTGTCCTGGGGAAGCCTTGGAATCTATTTGTCCAACTTTTGTGGGGACAAAAGATTGATTGGGGAGGAAAAGCCAGTTGAGAAGATCGTAACGAGAAGAAACCAATCCACTTTCTGAGAAGGAGACTTCCTCTCCAGCACTGTTGTTGAACTTGATGTTCCTCAGATAGGGAAGAAGCTGAAAGAAAAGACACCTGGATTAATTGGCTGAACACCACACGTGAGACACCCTGGTTTCTATCATAATGTCATGTCCTTCAGCCTAGGAGATAGGTCTATACCTGAGAAGCTAAAAGAGTTGCCTTGATGGAGATCTAAGCAATCAGAAGTAACATCAGATATTCAACTCCCTCCTTAAAATGACAAGACATTCTCTTCATTACTGGATATTTGTATCATGGCTTCTTCAATTCCAGTCTTACAAGGATGAGAGCTACAGACAAATATTCCAAATTACATTGTGTAGTTTTTCCTCTGTGATACTTGGCAAGCTATGTTTTAATTTTATTTGGCCCCCCATTCTTGTAAATGGCAAGTGCATTTTAGGAATGATTAAATAACTTCTATGCGGTCCTTGCTTCTCTCTGAGCCTGGTTGTTTTCTTGCAGACGTTTCATGACCTAAAATAGGTAATGCTGAAAGTGATATCCGATCCCCGATGGACGCTCCTTTAGGAGCGCCAGCCCCACGATTCTGTTTGCCGCTAGAACAGCGAAAATCAGCTGTCTAGCGGCTTGAAACTCTCCCCCAGGGAAAAAGGGGGAGAGAAGAGCAGAAGGGTCTGGGTAGAGCTCCCCTAGACCCCCAGGTTTTTTTTAAGCCTGGGGTTTGCAGGGTGAGAGCTCCCTGAAAGCCCTTCAGTGCTCCGGATCTGGGACGAGTCTGCTTTATGCAGAACAAGGGGTCGCGACCACACCAGCAATGCAATTTTAAGGATTATGAGAAACTTCGACCCTGGATGCTGGCAGAGCAAAATCAGGAGAACAAAAAATGCGAGTACTGAACTTTAACTCCATTTAAAAGAAGAAAAAAAAAGATGGCGCCTAAGGGCGTGAAAACGAAACTTATTACTAGTGAAAGTGCCTGTTAATGTTAGCAACATTGTTAAAGCTACTGGATTACGCAGCAAGAAAAAGATTTAAAGTGCTAGTGGAATGGAAAAGACTATGGTATTGACCTCAACTAATTTATACTTCTAAATTGTGTGGAAAATAATTGGACTTATTGACCTGATAGCTGAATAAATTCAAAGTGAAAATTGAAATATGGCTGACATCAAGGATGGAGGATCATTATTATATGAGCCAGCAAACTCACAAGTTGTGACTGTAAAGGTTTTACAAGAACTCTTAAATTTTCATACTTCTGTTATATTAGAATCAATTAAAAGGACTGTTCAAAATCAAAATCTGGAGAACAACAATGATTTGCTGGCTGGAAAAGAGGAAGAAATTAACCAAGCTAATGTGATTTTGGAGGGGAGAAAAGAGGCTGTCAGGATTAAGATGGAAGTTAGCACACTGGAAATAGACGTTTTGGCAGAGGCTTCTATGCAGTTAATTGAAAAGCAGCAAATAGACTCTTTTCTGCAGACTGATAAACTTTACCGTGACAATAGACAGAATCAATCTTTAAGGAATGAAGTGACTGATTATACAAACAGGAAGAGTCGAAATGGAGGCTTTAAATTAAAGGAGATAATTCTAAGAAGAGAACGAATTCCAAAGATACATCAGTCTCAAATCCATATTCAAAAAATTTTGAAAATAAAAGCAGGGGGAGGAGCAATGCTGAAGAAGAAAGTATTATTGAAGAAGAAGGACTGGAAAAGATATAGAAAGAAAGGAAGAATGGAAGATTAATTTCTTTTGGGGAGGATCTTAATAATAAATTTGAAAAGCTTACTGAAATTAGTATTTTTTAAGTTTAAGTAAAAATGTTTAACTAAAAATGGATAGCTTTTTAAAAGTTATTGTGGTATTAAAATGGTTAATTTTAAAGTTAATGGATAGCTTCCTGAAAGTTTTGAAATTGATATTTTGAAGAATGAACTCAAGAGTTAGAAATAATTTAACCCAATGGATTAATAGTATCTTTAAGGTTATAGTCTGAAGAATGTTTTATTGAAGTGTTTTTTAAAACTCACTGAAGTATTAAAATGGTTAATTTAAAATTGAATGGATAGCCTGCTTAAAAAAAAAGTTTTGAAACTTGGCACGCAATAACAAACATTCCTAAGGCACAATAATCTAAACCAACATTAAAATGAATTGAATGTCCTTTTACAGATTGGATTCAGGCTACTGACTGAGAGAAAGTGAGGAGGTTCTACAAAAATTATTTTTAATAATGGCTGTCTTAATCCCTTCTTAGATACATTGATAGCACACAGATATTTAATCAGTAATTCAAGAAATGCATATAGGGTGTTTCCTACCTACAGATCTCTGGACTAGATAAAAACTCACTGAGATTACCTGCCATGACTGAATATTTGAGATCCTCTTTCTGAGCCTCATTGTGGTTAGTTGTCCTCCAGATCTATATATTGCATGCAATGCGTGTCCCACAGCATAAACAGCATTGTAGATATTGTAACTTTCACCTTCCATGCTTGTTTCAAAAATGTAGGAAGGTAGATTCTGTAAATTCTCTTTTCCTGTACATGGTTTTACCCCCTTTGGAAGGATCCTTCCTGGTTTGTCCATCATGCAGCCAAACAACCTTTCCCAACACAGCAGGAGAAAGAGGTCCCCTTGTGGCTTCAAGGGGTCTAAAGACAGGAGGAAAGGACTGAATTCTGAGACCTCCCCAGTGTGGGGCCTAAAATGCAAAGCCCCATGGAAGGGCTTTACTGCTTTCACGATGCCTTGATTCTTCACCACACTAAGTTTCCAATGGGAAGTTAAGATCCAAACTTTCCAAAATGACGTCTTCCTCAAATGTTCCTGGACACTGATTGCCACCTGTACATTTTTAATACTATTGGGGTCTCCAAATAGAACAATCACTTCAGCTTTAGACCAAGTCTCCACACTACGAAGTAACTTCAGCATTGTAGTATCAAGAAAATCTGATTTCAATATTTCAGTGAAGGCCAAACAGATCTCCTTCTCCTTCAGCATTGGCATCAGAGATGAGAAGAAACGTTCTCCACTCTCATCTTCAGGGGCAATAATCCCAACCCAGTTCCACTGGAAATGCAGAAGCAGCTGGACTATGCCCTCATAGTGAGGAAATTCCTTGGGATTAATCCAGATGAAGGAAGGATAAACTATTCTCTCTTCTTGAGTGAACTCAAAGCCAACACCGAGCTGGAGAAAGGGAGATTCTTGATAGTAAATTTTAGGGGTCATCATTATTTGGATTATGTCAGAAGCCAAGGGAACCATACATCAAATCAATACAGAGAATATACTACACTACACTTTTATGAAGAATAGATTAAGAAGAAATTCCTCTTGGCAAGTACCACATTTCAAAGTTATCTCACTGATCAGTTTTGGCTTCTATAAAAACATATCATGACACACAAAATATAAATATATGTCCCCCAAAACTCCTCCTTTGTTTT